GTCAAGCATTGACAGCATCTCTATTAAGTTCAGAAAGAAGACAGGAGCACTTTAAAACTTGTCTGGAGTTGCATAAGGCAAGGAAAAACTAAAAAATTTGAAATAAACAGACCTCGTTGTTGTAGATACATAAAAAATTTCCCCCAAAAAATCTATGGGTTCATTCTTAATAATTATATCAAAATTACGGAATACAAACTCGATAAACAAAAGTCTGTTGTATCTCTGCACACTAACAACAATCCTTTAAGAAACAGGAGTACCTGGGGCCAGCGGTAGGCATGGTGGTTAAAGCTCTGGACTCCCATATGGCCAACCACGGTTCGAGGCCTGGACCTGGTAGCTTGCTTTCTCACTTTCCCTTTCTCTGTCTCTATCTAGTGAGCACACATGCTTTATGGCAATTTTTTAAAGATAACAATAAATGAAATAAAATAATTAAATAAAAAGAAACAGTAGTGCTTACAATAACAAAAGCTTTCGGTACTAGAAGTAAACCTAACAAAACTATAGAAATGTTCTACAGAGAAAGGTATAAAATCTTATTTTTGAAATGTTTTAAAACTAAATCAATGAGCCCATGTGTCATGCTCTTGGATATGAAATCTAAATATCTTAATATGTCACTTCTCTCTGTAATCAAGCTATCAGTTTGACGTTACTGCCATTAAAATTCCTGGAGAGTTTTACATAGAACTTGAAAACATGATTCTAACATTTTATGGAAAAGCAAAAAGACTAAGAATAGTTAAAGATACTTCTAAGACGGGTAAGACAGGGAACCACAGTGATGCACTCTTAAGCAATGGTTAACGTGTATAATGTGGAACCAGGATAGTGGCACATATAATAGACAACTGCTTTTATGTGAGAGTTCGCAATTTTACCTTTCTATTTTAGTTTATAATTTTTTATTTACATTTATTTAATTGTTGTATGACTTTGTGGGGGCAAAACATGGATTTTTCAAGACAACTGGGGTTTAAAAAGCAGGCATTACAGGTCACAAGAGAAAGAATGGACTCTTTCTCATGTTCAGTCCTAAACCCTCTGGTCATCGAAGTAGGATGAGATGAAAGTGGGTCTCCATTCCACACCTTATATACACCAAAATTGAGTCTAAGGTCTCTCAGACTCAATTGTGAAGTTTGAAATTCTTAACTTTTTAGAAAAGGAGAATAGTTTTATGACTGTAGAACAGGGGAAGATTTCTTAAGCAAGGATTTCTAAAGGCACAAACCACAAAGAAAAAGTCTAATAAATTCAACCACTTTATTAGTAGTCAGGGAAATGCAAATTAAAAGCACAATTAAATATTATAAAATTTAAAAGTTGGATAATATCAAGTGTTCACAAATGTAGAATAAAAAACAGCATTTGTCACTGAAGGTGAGTCGAAAAGACTGACCAACTTTGGAAAACAGTTTGGTATTTCTAGGAGAGTATTTCCACGCCTCACCACTCAGAAATTTGCACTCCTAATTAGACAGACCAGTGGAACTTTGCCTATATGGCCAGGAAAATGTTCATAGTAATAGTTATTTGCCAGAGCCAAAAAAAAAAAAAAGGAAACAAACATATCAGACATCAAGAGTAAGATGGGCAAAGATACTATGGTTTCCTGTGAACAGACCAGCAATACAGAAACAAAAATTAATGAAGGAGAGCTAAACAACAATGAAGAGTAAAACACACATGAATCAAAGAAGAGAAATATTTACAATAAAATTTCACTAACATGAAGTTCACGAAGGCAAAGCTATTATTCACAGGAATATGCAGGGGGCAGAGCAGAGCGCACCAGGTGCCAGGAAGGCAGGGCACTATACTCAAGAAAAGGCATGTGGGCTGCTTACTAAGGTCTCATTTCTCAACTGGGTGGTGAGTGCAAAGCTGCTTCATATTATTCATTAACGTCAGATTGTAAACATTCCTTTTATTTCACAAAATTTCACATTTCTTTCCTGGAGTGTTAAGACAAGCGTGGGGAGAGAGGAGTCTGACTGCCCAGGTTTGCGGGTGATTTTCTGCAGCATGTGGCAATCACTAAGCGGCTGTACTCGCAGTGCCCATCCCAAAGGTTGCCCCATCCACTACCCCATCCACCTACCACTACACGCGCACATACACACCACACAGCACATACCGTGAGAGTTACGTGAGAGAAAACACTACTTTACCCTCTACATTGGAAGTAAGGAGGGACAGCAAAATAAAACAAGTGTAGCACACCTGGAATTTCACAAAACGTATCACATACTCCTTTATTTTTATTCCCAACGCAAGCATTCTGGTGTAAACAGGCCATGAATCCAAGGGATCAAATAGCTTGCAACTCAAATAAAATGTCAGAAAGAAGTCTCACCAAACTTCTCTATTACATCTTAGATTCTTCACTTCCTACTTGGAGGTCAAAACAGATGTTGAATGTGATAAGAAGATAAAAGCGAACAGGGAAAATAATGACAAGAATGAGAGAGGGAAAAGTGGGTGGGTCTAGTCCTTGGAAAAGGATGCACTGCAGCATCTGCTAAAACCGACACACCTTACAGCCCACCAGCAAGCCCACCACAGATACATGCCCACAAAAATGCATGCCTACATGCACCAAAAGGAATACACTCGGAGATTACAGCTGCACCATTCAGATATTGAAACATTTTTGAAAATTTTCAAGAAATGGAAACTTTTCCAAATGCCTGTCAGCCTCAGGACAAGTGAAATAGACTATGCAACACTCACACGATGGAGCACTCCGTGACAGTGAAATGGACGCAGAGACTGGGTGATGCACACAAGTAATGCTGAGGGGAAAAGCCAGATCTAAATAAGGATGTCCTACGATCTCATTTCATTCCAAAGTTAAAGTAAAAGCGAACTCATCCATGCTTTCGGAAATGAGGTGCTCTCCATTAGAAGAACAGGGTAGACACTGGAAGGGGCTTTGGTTCCATTAATAGTAATGTTCCATTTCTTGCCGGGCTCTGGCTACCAAGGGTTTTTCAACTGGTGAAAATTCAATGAAATGAACACTTAAGAATTACTTCCTTTCCTGTACATGTATGTATGCTTGAATAAAAGGCTTTTCAAATAGGGTATAAAGAATTAAACTAAGGAGACAAGGTACTGTTAAAAACACTTTTTTGTTCATCAAAGCAGAATCAAAATTTTTTGTTCTTCAAAGCAGAATCAAAATTCTTACTCAAAATCTTCTAAATTAGGGACCAGCAGTTAGCGCAATGGCTATGTTGCTGGACTCCCATGTAGTCGACTGTGGTTCAAGTCTCGGACCTGGCGGCTTAAACTCACACCAGGCGCGTGTGCATGTGTGCCCAAGATTCCGAGAGGAGAATGGAGGAGAAGGGACTGCGGTGCGGCCATCCCCCCTGGGGGGTTGATTTCTCACTTTCTGTCTTTCTGGCAAGTACACACACCCTACAGCAAAAAACCTCTCAAAAAAAAGAAGAAAAAACCTTCTAAATTAGGCAATTAAAAATTATTTTAATGAATAATTAGCTAAAATAACTTAAAAGCCCTGGTTAGTTTAAAATGCATTCTATATTAATATGCAAGAGAGTAACCGTGAAACATACAATGAAATCTGAGTCTGTTTTCTGATGATTAAAATGAGATTATTACTGTGGTCTTTCCCATTCCTGTGATGCTGTGACAAGCAGAATGAGGTACCCGAAAATGCCACTTAAACTCGAAGTAACCTTGAGTAGAATATAACAAAAAATAGACAAAAGACTACCCAGAAAAAATCATTAATTTCTGTCCAGAAAATTTATAATTAATATAAAACTATCAATATTTATGGGCCTTTAATAACATGCTTACACTAAGTGTCATCACTAACATCAGATGTTAACATGTCACTAACATAACTTCACCTCCATCTGCCTTTACTGTACATACTATGAGTTTAGTTTTGGATGTGGTCCTGGCTCGTAAGAATCTAAAACCACATAACCCTGAAGACAGTGGCTCAGAAAAGGAGTATGAACAGCAAAGCAAAGTCAGACTATTCTTTCACAACCTTATTTTTAGGTTGAATTTGGCTAGTACAAAATTCAAATAAAGATTTAAAAACAAATGAAAGAGACCCATGATTTCAAGTTAGTGTTTTAAGTGCTTGGTTTTCTAACCCTGTCTGTAAGTGCTGAATGCTTAAACAAAGACACCAGTACAGACCCAGAAGCCAGGTCTACAGATGACTCTGGAGATTTACGATGCTGCCGTGAGTCTAGATTCTACCCTGTTCCCCAAAAAAGGACTGAGGAAGAGTCCTTTTAAAGGTCCAAAAATATTATTGAGTTACTGGTAATGTCATGGCATTTTTTTTTAAAAGAATTATTTTATTTAACTTTATTTATTTTAATTTGACCAGAGAGGGACAGAGCGAGAGAGAAAGAGAGAGGGAAAATGAGAAAGCAAGCCACCAGGTCCAGCACTCAAACCATAGTCGGCCATGTGAGAGTCCAGCATGCTTAACCACCATGCCACCTGCTGGCCCCATGACACGTTTTTGCATAGAAAAATATTAAAAATACATCGTGACTTTCCCGATAACCTAATGTATGAATATCATGACCAAGTGAAATGCTGCTTATTTCCCACTTAGGTGGGATCACAGCAGCAGCCACTGATTACTAACTACTGTCTCACGTACTCAGCTGCTCAGCTTATAACTATAAACTATCTCTAGGTCCCTTCAGCAATCTGCCAGCATAGATACCATCAACACAAAAATGAGGAAGAGACTGGTTTACAAAGTATATCACACAGTTTGTAAGTGCTGGGGGCTGTGTACAGAGACCATCATGCAAAACCTCCTTTTTTTCTCTCTCACAAATGTTTGGCGTATGTACTATTGCAAACGTTATTTTATAGATATCTAAATGGACATTAGAAGCCCAAATAACTATATTTTTTAAAAAGTTATATCAGTCGCTTTGCAATTCAAAATTCAGAGTTAGAAAGTGTCATTAAATACTCACCTGATGGAGCAGACGTTTCAGTTTGAGTAACTGGGTTTTCACTGCAGTGCAATCTTGAACCATGTGCCGGAGGGTCATCTCATCTAGCATCACCGTATTTTCTGGAACATCTACAAACATCTTCTGAGCCTGGAAAAAGGGGGTCCCTCCATAGCTTTCAAAATGACCCAAAGGAGATTCTCTATAGGGAGAGCCTCTGGAAAGGCAGGGGAAGAGGTGGATGGAAAAGACACAGGATACAAGTTCAGAAAGAGATACAGGCAATGAAGTCGTTGCAGTGATCATTACATGTCCTTTACCCGTACGCGCCTCGGGGGCTGAACGTGCTCCCACCATGAGGTGCGATCTGCTCTGGGTAATTATTAAGACAACCATGCTCTGCACACCCCACCCTTGTCCGTGCCTTACACGTTGGATGAACAAACCTCCTTCCTTTAGGAAGCAGAGAAACAAAATACCTGGGAAAAGCCTGACTTGGAAAACAGTGCACCTATTCTTCCCTTTCTCCACTGACTGCTCTTTGGTGATTGGCTCTGCACGGCCTCTCACCCGTCATGCCCTTTAAGCGGCTCACAACTCTTTAATGCTGCCTACATTAAGCCTCACTTTGTGCACACCCCTGGACTCCCACTTCAGAAAGTGCCAGCAGGCAGTAAAGAAAGGTGAACTATGCATCATTATTTCTTTCTTTTGTTCTTACAAGGTTGATAAATCATCTTTTCCAAAAAAGGTTAAATAATTTTTTTTTTCTTTAACTTGCTACAAAGCATCTGCTCTTGCTGGGGAGAGAACAAGAGAGAGAAAGTGAAAAAAGTCCCTGAGGGGACAGTCATGCCACAATCCCTTCTACTTCATTCTCCTCTCAAGGTTTTGGGCATGCCTGCACAGATGCTGAGTGTTTCCAAGTGACTGGGTTCAAGTGTGACCCATGCAGTTGGCCACATGGGTCCAGCCTCTTTAACCTCTGCGCCATCAGCTGTCCCAGAACAAGGTTTTATAAAAGTCTCATACATATCACATATTTCCTAGTCTTAGATTTCCACTAAAAAGCAAAACCAAAAACTACTCTCAACATAGTTGCATCTTTCTTGAGTTTCATGTAATAATATACATGCTCAATAAGAGCAAAAAAATTAGGGGTGGTGTATTTTAGGAGTGAAAAATACAACGTTTCATTTCAACCAGAAGTAATAGCTATAGAGATTTTAAAACCACTGCACTCACTCCTTAGCTCTGTCTTAGTTTGAAAGCCCAGAGACTGACAAGTGTCTCAGCTGTGAAATCCAGTAGTCCTTGGAGGTTGGTAGGAAAAATGGTTTGGAGCACCAACAAGCACCAATCCCAGATAACCGTACTACGTGACCTGCCTGGCACGGCCACTCTCCAAGTAGTCTTACAGGAGGTGATGTAAACCTTGCTCATCTGGAATAGCCTACTCACTGGCACATTTACTGAAAACAAAACCAGCATCAACTGCTCAGAATCTCAGCTGCTGAGATAGTGATGTTACTCGCAACAAACAAGCAGCAGACAAAAACCACAGAATGAAAACCAAAGAAGGGTATGTCCACAGAAAGCTCTGAAATGCTACGAGACATTCTTGGGAACAGAGAAGACTGCACACATCTAGGCTGTGCACACACCAAGGAAATACCTGAAAAGGGCTCCTCTTCCGTTTTTGGCTGACTGAGATTCTGAGCAAGCAGAAAGTCAAGGCCAAGGCAGACCTGCAAACTACCTACCAAGGTATCAAAGGCACTGAGACACACACATCCCCTTGGCAAAGCCTGCTCGAGGCATTTAAGGGAAACTGTCCAACCATTAGCTAAGCACTAAGCAAACCAAGCAGAGACTCTAAATGTTAAAAACACAGACTTCATGGGTTAGGGTGTGGCCTGGTGCTTAAGGAAACTGACCACACAGTTCATGTCCTGGACAGGTACCGGGCTGTATACACCCAAAATCCTGAAAGGAGATGGAGGAAAAGGGATTGTGTCGTGACCATTCCCCACAGGGGATGCTCCCCCATCCCTGCCCCATCCATGACCCCCCATCCTCTTCACCACCCCACCCCACCAGCGTATAAGCTCTCTGGCAAAATTAAACAAAATACGGACTTCAGAGAATTAGTTAACAAAGCCAACAATCACAAATCCAAACAACAACAAATAAGGCGTTTCAGCATTATTTACATTTATCTTTTCAAAATTTTTACAATAATCAAGTAATGATGCTAGCATATTCCCTTAATTATTTGGACAGAGGGGGGGAGGAAATGGAAAAGAAATAAGAAAAAGGAGGAAGGAAGGAGCAAAAAGAAATTGAAGAATAACCAAAAACTTCCCAAATTTGATTAAAAAAAAAACATTAATCTACAAATTCATAAGGTCAACGAACTCTAGGCATGAAAAACTAAAGGACAGACATATCTAAATACGTCATAGTCCAACTGTCAAAAGCCAAAGAAAAAGTGTGAATCCTTAATGCAGCCAACACAACTCCTTCAAAATTAAGGAAAAAATTCCCAGATAAATAAAAATAGAGAATTTGTTGCTAGCAGACCTTCTTACAACATACAGCGATGTTGAAGACTTTCTATCACCCTTTCAATAAAGAACAGAACTGTGTAGATCGAGGAGACAGAAAATCTGAGTGACACCATAAACCAGTAAGCCAGTGAGACCTACTAGACATTTGGAGACCAACTGCAGAGTAAGATCTGTAATCAAAAACCTTGCCACAAAAAAAAAAAAAAAAAAAAAGGAAAGCCCCCGTTTCTTTCCATGTG